GATCAGCGAGGAGCCGGCGCCTGGGATCCTCTTCCCCGTCTTCTCCAGGAGAAGGTACGGGTAACGCCTCGGAGCCAGGGCGCCCACGCAAGCGCGCCGGAGCGCACGCTTGCTTTAGGCTAGCCGGCAAGTAGACTTGGGTCTTTGGCCCAGACGAAAGATGCTTAAAACCCCAGGTATCCAGCACCTTCTGCCCAGGGAGCCCCCGGAGAGGGACGGCTGAGTCACGGGATGTGCCCATGGTGGGGAACAGGCTCGCGTCCGCCTCCGTCGGGGAGCGGCAACGGAAAACCCCACGCGTTTTACCCAAAATTGGTTTCAACAGAAATAGCCACTGACCTTCAAAAAGACGGAAAAGCATGCCAAAACGGATTTTGGCGCTGCGCAAACGGCAAATAGGAAGCTCTGGCCGAGCCCCGTCCCCGGTGGGAGCCCTAGACCACCCCCGCTTCTGGTCCCCGAGGCAGCAGAAGTGACCCCCAGCCTCCTCCCGACACCCTGCTTGAGGTGGTGCTAGGGACGGTAGTTTTGATGCCAAGTCAGACCCACGCCAGCCGCGTCCTTCTGCTTGGGCACGGCTGCTTCGCACGCTGCTGCAGGCCTCCTACTACCTCTTCAGAGGTTAGCCCAGAAGACAAGTGTCTCTCATCCTAAGATCAGTATACATCTGTGCTGTGAACCCACCTTGGGTCCAAATATTTAAAAAAATTGAAAGATAGTTGAACTATGCCTGAAAATATTTGATGATAATATTTTTGACTGAAGGACGGTGAGGATCCAGAAACTAGCTGCCTCCCAGGGTAAAGCTGAGTCTTAATATGCCCGGCCCCTTTGGCTCGCTGCCGGGAGCGAGCGGAGCCGGCACCCAGGACGCAGCGCGAGTCCCAGCCCGCGTCCAGCTGCGGTCACCTCTCTGCGGCCGGACCCGTAGCCTCCGACACTCCCAAATTAAATCAATCTGTTCACGAGGCTGAAAGCATCACCCGCGGGAGCCCACTTCCCCTGCCGCAACCAAGACATGTAAAAATTCATTTTTAGTAGCAGCCGACACCACTGCCAAGCGGCGCAGTGCCGCGTGCGAACCCAGCGCTTCCCCAGCACCACATTAACTCTCTGTACTCCACATCACGTCCCAAACCAGGACGTTCTCCAGGGCACGCTTGGTCACTGCGCCTTTACGTTTAGCTCTACGGCAAGGCACTGATAAAGCTGTCTTGGAGAACAGGCCACCCAGGTATTAAAGTTCCCTATCATCTTTCTCCATGTGTTTATTTTACCTCATTAGGCTTCCAAGATATTGACAATAAAGTCTTATCTGGTTAACGAAATCCCACACCTACTGGCAATTGTACATGTTTGCCAGACAGGCTGGGGAGAAGGGGTGGTGGCATTGCTGGCACTACCGCCGACCGCGGTTGCAACAGCGCATTATCATCTACTTCTTCCCTATGGCATCAGGTAAGCAGCTACTCGAAAACAAAAAACGAGCAACAACTATTATTAGTAGTATTTTTGTAAATAAACATCAAGGACTGCTCATTGTCAGAGATTGTACTTGGGTGTTGCCGAGGGATTAACGGTGACTGAGAGCCTAAAAACAACGCTGTAAGTGACTTCGAGAAAGATAAAATATCACAAGTTGTTGCTTTTAACGTTGAATTTGTCGTGCAGCAGGTGTTGTTTGCTCCTGACTCAAGGCCCCAAGTTGTTAAGTCTTATAAATAGCACAGTTTGGGAGCGCTGAATATACCACCTTTTGATGTTGGCCAATGATGGCGCTCTTCATCACTGTCTAGGAGATGGAGGTTTCACACCGAGAACATGTGGAAATAGGGATTATGATAAACTACATGGGTTTATAGCATTACCTTCCATGTTCTGGCAGCGTTATCCGCATCATCGCTGTTAGCGGCAGCCTGGAACAAAACATGAATTACTAGTTGCCCGGTCTTTGCGTGGTCATGATGGATTTGGAGAACAGGGAGAACGGATACAGGGAGCGGTCAGAGCTAGCTGATAAACCGGACGCAGGACGCACCATCGCTCGGATGCGACGCGCTTGGGGCCGTATCTACCAAGAGCTCGCAGCGCACCAAGCTCTGCCCGGAGCTGTGCCCCGGCGCCGGGACCCTGGCGGGGAGCCCTGGGCACGAGGCGGATGGTCCCCTTCAGACGGTGGACGGCAGGGAGGAGCCGCGAGGTCGGATCCCGTCTCGGCGCTTCGGGGGCGATGCCAGAAACCAACCCAAGGCTCAAAACAGCCATGAGAACCGCGGCAAGACCGGGAATGGTTAAGATGATCGGCCCCGGCAGGAGCTTAATCTATTTAGTACAGCAACAAAAGTGGCCAGGAAGCAGCTGCATCGGGGTCTGAGCGCTGGCATCCAGGACGGGGATCTGACGGCGACGGGATCTTCGCTCCAGCAGAGCCGTAACAAGATCTTGAGATTAATTCAGAAATAAAGGGCACGTTTTTAACGGCAAGGGTAATTAAGTCTCCGAACAGGTTGTGGTGAGCTCTTCGTCAAAGCAGTTTTTGCATTGACATTTGAAGCCTTTCTAAAAATACCCATCCTGCTTCGGCTAAGACACGTGAAGCAGCACCTGGAGAACGTCCCCCGGCCAAGCGGTCACTTGTGGCCCCGTTCGCATCCCACGGTGCGACGGGGACGCCCGTGGCCCCACGTGGCTTCCAGAGGTGGATCCAGGGCTCACGTTTAAACGGGCACTCAAACGTCAGACAGCTGCCAGATAACGCACGCTGGCTTCCGACTAAAAGCAGCTTTTTCCTCGGGGCTGTAAGTTAGCTGAAAGCCTCTCTTGCTCCTCTACCTGCAAAACGGGGTTTTTTGTTCGTTTTTTTTGTTGTTATTATGAAACTGCAGCCAGGACATCAGCTCATTTTCCTTCTTTAACAGAACTGGACATCTGAAGATTATTTCACATCAGAAGGACGTAAATCGCCGCAAACCAAGAGAGACCAAGAAATAGTCTTCCACTTATCCCATAGTCAAAATAAATAAATAAATAAATAAAACCACCAGGCCTTCCAGGTGCAGAAGACATCTGTGTGACCCTCCACAAAACCTTATGTCCGATTTTGCAAATAAAGGGAAGGGAAAGCCGAGCGCGCGGCGGGCTGGTAGCTCCCCCGGCCCGTGCCCGGAGATGGAGGCTCCCGACGGGAGCCCGTTCCAGGAACGAGGCTTTTATACACGAGTGAAAACGCTAATGGGCTTCGTTGGCTCTGAAGATGAAACGCTTAAAACCCGCGAGTGACTGGAAGCCTCAAGAATTAACGCTTCTGAGAGTAAGTGCTTTCAGGAGAAGTGCTATGGCAGTCGTTTTGGTAGTTGCGCCCAGCCATCCCAGCGCGACGGAGGAGGGCAAAGCCGAGGGGTGGCCCCGTCTCCCGCCCGCCACCTCCCTGGAGCGCCCGATCTGGTGACGTTCAACGTGACCGGAAAAAACCAGACCAGCCCTCAGCAAAAACACAGCATTCACATCTGCACGCAGCGAAAACTTACACCCAAAATAAGGTGCTACAAGGCGCTTCTTCCCGGTTGCTCCGACCTCCCGATTGCTCCCGCGGTCTACCATCGACCAAACGCCCTGATTTTAAAGCGGTGATTAACCGTGGCGATAGCGTAACCGAAAAGGAGCGCGGGAGAGCGGACCCAAAGGAAAGGCTTCCTTCCCGGGCCGCCTTTAACCCACCGCCTGAGCTGCTTCTACACCTCTACTGCCCTGTCCGAGGAACAATGACGACGCCCGAAAGAGCTGCAAGTCCCCAGGTGAAAGCAGCTACATAGACATGAAGTATTAATGACCTTATTATTAATAAATTATGCAGGCTTCTCTTCTCTTGCATCTCCGGCACTACAGCTGAGACCAGGGCTAAAACCCTGCAGCGCTGAGTCGGGAGGTGCAACGGGGGCCAGAAACGCTCCCCCGGCAGCGGGTGCCCTGCCCAAAGGGGCACATCCTCCGGCACGTCCACGTCCCACCAGGACTGCTCCGGCAGCGTTGCCTTCGTTGAGGCTCCTTCCCCCAAAACGTTAAAGGAGCCGAAAACCTGTGAAGAGGGAAATAGTAAGAGCCGGAGGAGAGGGAGCCCTGGGAAAGGAGCGAAAAGCAGCCCGGAGAGCCGTGCCTCCATCCCTCCACCGACCGCTGCCAACCAGCTCACGACCGAGCGTTTTCGGGGTGTTCAAGGCAGGTTTTGACGGGTTATTTTCTGCGCCTCGTTTGGTTTTCGTTTTCAGCCGGTACAAGAGCTCCTGGCTCAACTCTCGCGAAAACCGCACCGCGGGGGCCGACGTTTGGCACAGCCCCCGAGGGGCAGGGCCGGGGGAGGGGGCCGCGAGCCGCCC